TTTGACCTCGTTCTCTCTCTCCTACCACATTCATTATCCTTGGCCATTATCCCTCCATCCCATCCCATCCCCCTTAGTTCTCAGCCCTGGTGCTTGTAATGGCTCTCCACTTTGGCACTCTCCTTTGGTTCCCTCTCAGGTTCTGTCCTATTTCTGGTCCTCAACTGCTACCTTCCCTTAACTCCTGGTTCTTCTCGTTCTACCTTCTTCCTCCTAGTACACCACCTTGGCCGGCCTCCTAGTACACCACCTTGGCCGGCCTCCTAGTACACCACCTTGGCCTGCCTCCTCCTAGTACACCACCTTGGCCTGCCCCCTCCTAGTACACCACCTTGGCCTGCCCCCTCCTAGTACACCACCTTGGCCTGCCCCCTCCTAGTACACCACCTTGGCCTGCCTCCTCCTAGTACACCACCTTGGCCTGCCCCCTCCTAGTACACCACCTTGGCCTGCCTCCTCCTAGTACACCACCTTGGCCTGCCCCCCTCCTAGTACACCACCTTGGCCTGCCTCCTCCTAGTACACCACCTTGGCCTGCCTCCTCCTAGTACACCACCTTGGCCTGCCCCCTCCTAGTACACCACCTTGGCCTGCCTCCTCCTAGTACACCACCTTGGCCTGCCTCCTCCTAGTACACCACCTTGGCCTGCCTCCTCCTAGTACACCACCTTGGCCTGCCTCCTCCTAGTACACCACCTTGGCCTGCCTCCTCCTAGTACACCACCTTGGCCTGCCTCCTCCTAGTACACCACCTTGGCCCTGCTTCCTGACACTACACCTTCTCCTCCTGCTCCTGCTCCTGCTGGCCTTCCCTACCCGGATGTGGCTGGCAGTATCCGGGTGTCTGGGGCATGATGCTTCTGACTCCTCGGCCGCTATTGTTCTTTTAATCACTGCAGCTTCACACACACACACAGCTTTTTTGTGACGAAGGTTGGAATGTGTTGAGAGGGGGGGAGAGGGGCGGGGCTGTGAGAGGGGGCAGATGGAGCTGTGAGGGGGGGGGAGGTAAAGGGGAAGAGGGGGGGGAGGGGGGTTGAGAGGGTCGGAGGGAAGCGTGTTAGGAAGGGGAAGAGGCAGTGTTGAGTGATGTGTAAGATTTGGGAATTTTATGAGGATTTAGGGTGAATGTTGTGAGGGGGGAGGGTGTATGTTGTGAGGGGGGGAGGGTGTATGTTGTGAGGGGGTGAGGGTGTATGTTGTGAGGGGGGGAGGGTGTATGTTGTGAGGGGGGTGAGGGTGTATGTTGTGAGGGGGGTGAGGGTGTATGTTGTGACGAGTGAGGGGTGTATGTTGTGAGGGGTGAGGGTGTATGTTGTGACGAGTGAGGGGTGTATGTTGTGAGGGGGGGGAGGGTGTATGTTGTGAGGGGGGTGAGGGTGTATGTTGTGAGGGGGGTGAGGGTGTATGTTGTGACGAGTGAGGGGTGTATGTTGTGAGGGGGGTGAGGGTGTATGTTGTGAGGGGGGTGAGGGTGTATGTTATGAGGGGTGAGGGTGCTAGGAGAGGAGAGGCAGGCTAGGGGGAGGGGAGAAGGGTGTTGAGGCAGGCTAGGTGGGGGGGGTGAGGGGGGGAGGTGTTGAGGGTGGGAGTAGAGTAGGCAAGGAGAATATTATGTTCAAGGAACGAAAATGAGGAAGTGATGATGATATGTTTATTAGAGGCGAACATGTGGGTGCAGGAGGAGGAGGAAGATAATGTGTAAGTGTAGAAAGAGTGAGCACGTGGCGTGTGTGTGTGTGTGTGTGTGTGTGCGTGTGTGTGTATGTGTGTGTGTGTGTGTGTGTGTGTGTGTGTGTGTGTGTGTGTGTGTGTGTGTGTGTGTGTGTGTGTGTGTGTGTGTGTGTGTGTGTGTGTGTGTGTGTGTGTGTGTGTGTGTGTGTGTGTGTGTGTGTGTGTGTGTGTGTGTGTGTGTGTGTGTGTGTGTGTGTGTGTGTGTGTGTGTGTGTGTGTGTGTGTGTGTGTGTGTGTGTGTGTGTGTGTGTGTGTGTGTGTGTGTGTGTGTGTGTGTGTGTGTGTGTGTGTGTGTGTGTGTGTGTGTGTGTGTGTGTGTGTGTGTGTGTGTGTGTGTGTGTGTGTGTGTGTGTGTGTGTGTGTGTGTGTGTGTGTGTGTGTGTGTGTGTGTGTGTGTGTGTGTGTGTGTGTGTGTGTGTGTGTGTGTGTGTGTGTGTGTGTGTGTGTGTGTGTGTGTGTGTGTGTGTGTGTGTGTGTGTGTGTGTGTGTGTGTGTGTGTGTGTGTGTGTGTGTGTGTGTGTGTGTGTGTGTGTGTGTGTGTGTGTGTGTGTGTGTGTGTGTGTGTGTGTGTGTGTGTGTGTGTGTGTGTGTGTGTGTGTGTGTGTGTGTGTGTGTACTCACCTATTTGTGCCTGCAGGATCGAACATTGACTCTTGGATCCCGCCTTTCTAGCCATCGGTTGTTTACTGCAATGACTTCTGTCCCATTTCCCTATCATATCTAGTTTTAAAATTTTGAATAGAGTTTGCTTCCCACAACCTGCTCCTTAAGTGCATTCCATTTTTCCACTACTCTCACGCTAAAAGAAAACTTCCTAACATCTCTGTGACTCATCTGAGTTTCCAGCTTCCACCCATGTTCCCTAGTTCTGTTATTTTTTTCCGTGGGAACATTTCTTCTATTTCCACTCTGTGAATTTTCCTGAATATTTTATACGTTCCTATCATATCCCCCCTCTCTCTTTTTTTTTCTAGTGTCGTAAGGTTCAGTTCCATCAGGCGCTCTTCATATCCCATCCTTCGTAACTCTGGGACGAGCATCGTCGCAAACTTTTGAACCTTTTCCAGTTTCCTTATGTGTTTCTTCAGGTGGGAACTCCGTGATGAGGCGGCATACTCTAAGACTGGCCTCACGTAGGCAGTATAAAGCGCCCTAAATGCCTCCTTACTTAGGTTTCTGAATGATGCTCAAATTTTTGCCAGTGTAGAGTACGCTGCTGTCGTTATCCTATTTATATGTGAATCAGGAGATAGATTAGGTGTTACGTCCACTCCCAGGTCTCTTTCTTGCGTCGTCACAGGTAGGTAGTTCCCCTTCATTGTGTACTGTCCCTTTGGTCTCCTATCACCTAATCCCATTTTCATAACTTCCCATTTTCCATTTCTACTACTGTAAACATGTCATTAACGTATATTAGAAATAGAATAGGTTCCCAGCACCGATCCTTGAGGTACTCCACTCGTTACTGTTCGTTAGTCCGAACGTTAGTTCGTTAGTTAGTTAGTTAGTTCGTTAGTTAGTTTCTCGCCCCTTACCGTAATTCTCTTGCTCCTTCCTGTTAGGTAGTTCCTTGCCCATACTAGGGCCTTCCGCTTACTCCTGCCGGCTTCTTAAGTTTAAATAGCAGTCTCCTGTGCGGTACTGTTTCAATGGCTTTATGGTAGTCCAGAAATATGCAGTCTGGCCATCCGTCTCCGTTCTGCCTTATCCTCGTTATTTTATCATAGAATTCCAAAAGGTTTGTTAGGCATGATACCCACACACAGTGTGGGTGTGTATTCATCTAGTTGTATTCACCTAGTTGTTCTTGCGGGGGTTGAGTTCTGCTCTTTCGGCCCGCCTCTCAACTGTCAATCAATCATCTGTTACTAACTACTCCCCCCCCCCACACACACACATACTCAGGAAGCAGCCCATAGCAGCTGTCTTACTCCCAGGTACCTATTTACTGCTAGGTAATAGGGGCATCAGGGTGAAGGAAACTGCTTATTAGTTTTTCCGGCGGTGCCGGGGGATCGAAACCCGGTCCCTAAGTCCACGAGTCTAGAGCGCTGTCCACTCAGCCACCACCCACCGTTATGTATGTGTGTGAGTTTATTCACCTAGTTGTATTCACGTAGTTGTATTCACCTAGTTGTGCTTGCGGGGGTTGAGCTCTGCTCTTTCGACCCGCCTCTCAACTGTCAATCAACTTTTTATCTTTTTATTCTTCCCCCCCCCCCCCCACACACACTGGAGTCTGCCTCCACTACTTCACTGCCTAATGTGTTTCTGTCGAAATTCACTATCTGGAGTCCCGTCCTTACAGCACCGGTCAATCTTAGACTGACAATCTTCGGACTGGGTAGCTATTCACGATCCATTACATGTACACAAGCATATATATGATAACTATCCACCTTAATCATGGCTCAAGAAGGTGAGAATTAAAAAGGGGTGGAGATGGTCAGTGACCAGTTCAGTTCATGAGGCTACTTTGAGCAATCTCTAACCTTTTCCACAACCGCCCATGGGATGGGTATGGTCTCTAGCATACCCATCCCATGGGCGGTAATCATACCCAGCAAATTGCCGGTATTGGAAAAGATTAGAGAGTTCCTCAACTCTCCACTGACGATCTGCACCCATTTTGAGCCAGATTTAAGATGGATAATTGAATTAGATTCCCATATCTAAATTAAATGAAGAATAATAGTCATTGTACACGCGATGGATATTCCATTTTCTAAGAATCTGGGACGATGATGTTTGCTGCACTATAACCCATGAGAATGTATGCTAGCACTACCCAGGCCATTACCAATAGCACATCACTGCCAACAGTTCTAGTACTGCTAACAGTACCAGCACTGTAAACAGTTCTAGCACTGCATATAGCAGTACCTATGAGCGGCCCAGACCGTGAATGGCTCGATCAAAACCTTCTGTTTACACGTTGAAGGACAAATAGAACCTAACGGCAACGATAAACCTGCGATATTAAGAGGAACCATGGCGCTCAAATATATAAACTGTCATGTGTAATATGAATAGCATTATAGTTTATTCGCCGACTTAATGCTAAATAATTATCACAGACATTTAATTACAAACGGAAAAAGGGGGAAGCAGAATTACTTCCACAGGTGTCATTCATTGTGTAAAGGAAATTTATGTCTTAGTTCGTTATACCAAACGATTCATCAGGAGTTAAAAGAACACAAAATTCTTCTTTGGGCTTACAACAGACCTCCTCTAACATCTTTCCATCTCATTTCCTTCAACAGAAGAGGCGCTGAAGGCAGACCTGCTGGGCAAGCCGAGGAAGGAGCGGACCGCCTTCACCAAACACCAAATCCGAGAGCTGGAGGCTGAGTTTCAGCATTCCAACTACCTCACCAGACTCCGCCGCTACGAGATTGCCGTCTCGCTTGACCTCACCGAGAGACAAGTGAGTCACCGTGTTTATGTTGTAAATGTATACACAGCTCAGGGTATTGTGGGCGCGTTGGTGTAGTGTCTGGCGCGAGCGGACCCCCCCCCCCCCCCCTTCCCTTCCTTTTTATGTAATCCATACACATACACACACACATACACACACACACACACACACAAACATACACACACACACTCACACACACACAGTTTCAAATGTACATATGATAGAGCCCAGTAGGCTCAGGAATCTGTACACCAGTTGATTGACAGTTGAGAGGCGGGACCAAAGAGCCAGAGCTCAACCCCCGCAAGCACAATTAGGTGAGTACACACACACACACAAACACACACACACACACACACACACACACACACACACACACACACACACACACACACACACACACACACACACACACACACACACACACACACACACAAACACACACACACACACACACACACACACACACACACACACATTTGAATTTGACATCAAATTTGAAACCGAACCAGTAACCGAGATATATAAGTTTAAACAATTATTAGTGAATATGTTACCAAAACGAGAGTAACCCAGTACCCCCTGAATAACGAAAACTTGACTATTGGAAGATGTTACTCACTTGTTTCACAGTTTGTTCACCTGAGACTTAAGGAAGTCCAAGCAACCTCAGGGGTACAAATGACACAATGAACAACCCGGAAGGGTTTTCTTCCTACTAGGGGGTGTTGTACATATGGCAGTGTGTTCACTCACAGGAAGAGTCACGTTGACCTCCGTGGCAAAATTAAAAAACAATTATAAATAGAGCAAAGATTAACAAATACTTAAATTTTTTAAATGAATAATTCTGATATTGTTTAGGTCAAAAAAGATAATATTGTAGGCCTAGTCCCAGGAATGTTAGTTCACAGTGATTTGGAAATATTAAATGAACAACCTTATTAGCAATTAATGAATGAAGAAAATTAGTTTTTTAATAAGGCTGAAATTAATACGTAAATTTCAAGTTCAAGCGTTTAATATTTCAGTAATAAACAAACATATCCATCTTTGAGTGATGTTTAAACATTAGTAAAGATTCATCTACATGTTGATGGTAAAAAATATTCTTATAGATTGAGGGACAAGTATCTATCCAAAGTTTCTCACACTAACGAACACGCAAGCATAACATGAGCCGAGAACTGAGCCACATTGCTACTCCATATGTTCACCATTAAATGAAAGAAAACAAAACTAAATTTAAAGCTGCAATCTCTTAAAACTTAGCTGCTTTTTTATTCCAACCAAAATTACAAGATAGATAATTTAAAGTCAACTGAGAAGATTTTTTATGTTAGACATTTGTAAACAAAGATACGACATAATAACTAGACATAACAATGAACGTATTAGTTGTTAAAACATCACTTTATGCAACAAACTGTGACAAATTGTCAGTAGCCGCCAAGCCAACGCAACGAGACTGCACACTCTCAAGAAATGCTTCAGAGGTGTCTAACTGATACTCAAATGAGACTTTAAACCATCACTCATCTCTAGAGCGTCTAAATGGTAACTATCATCACCTTCTTAAGTGCCATACAATAGTGGTTGATTGTTCAATAAATCCCTGAACTATATGTTTAACAAATCTCTAACCCTGTCCATGGAGGACACAAGAAAACGTATATATGTGGTTGGCATTGTTAATGTGTGGCCACGTCTGTGGTAGAAAATAATATTAATAATAATAAAGATATCGTATGTGATAACAATTCATTTACTCGGATCATAGATGTATCCGAACGTGGGACTGAAATAAAGGAGATAGTCTTTAATGTCGATGGAAAACACTAAACATCAAACACCGGTAGCACAGAGGTGGAAGAATGCTCGGAAGAGATCTAAGACGGCTCCCTAACCCAGTTACTGAGCCTTCCAGGAATAATATTATTCTGAAGTGAGTCTTGCGTGCATCAAATCTGTAATTGGACTATACACACAAATTTTAATAAATATTTGAATACAAATCTCTCTCTCTCTCTCTCGCTCTCTCTCTCTCTCTCTCTCTCTCTCTCTCTCTCTCTCTCTCTCTCTCTCTCTCTCTCTCTCTCTCTCTCTCTCTCTCTCTCTCTCTCTCTCTCTCTCTCTCTCTCTCTCTCTCTCTCTCTCTCTCGCTCTCTCTCTCTCCCTCCCAAAGGTTATTGAAGATTTGTAGAAATACTGCAGGGAAACTAGAGGCCGTCCTCGTATAAGAGAAACCATCACTGTAACTAGTAACTGAAACTGAAACAGTAACTGAAACCATCACTGTAAACCAGTAACTGAGATATATAAGTTTAAAAAAATTATTTGTGATTGTGTTACCAAAACGAGAGTAACTCAGTGGCATTGTAGAAACTCCAATGATATCTTAAGGTTATCTAGAGATGATTTCGGGGCTTAGCGTCCCCGCGGCCCGGTCCTCGACCAGGCCTCCTTTTTTGTTACACAACCTCCAGGAAGCAGCTCGTAACAGCTGTCTAACTCCCAGGTACCTATTTACTGCTAAGTGAACAGGGGACATCAAGGTGAAAGAAACTCTGCCAATTTGTTTCCGCCTTCACCGGGGATCGAAAACGGAATCTTAGGACTACGAACCCCGAGCGCTGTCCACTCAGCTGTCAGGCCCCATAATGAATAAAAATTTTGAGTATAAAGTAAAAAACGGATAATAAAGGATTTTCAGTCAAATCCGAATGTTAATAAAAATCATATGAATAAGTGGATGCATTTCTAATTTTAATTAGAAACAAAAATACTCAGGACCAGGATTCATTAAGCATTTAAGTGTTCACTTACGAAACCATTACATCTTTCCTCAATCATGGCGACTTAATTTGCATTTATTAAACAGTTTATGAGCATCGAAAACCGCTACGAAGTTGTCTATAACAATCATACTCTTGAGTCGAGAACGACCTCACTGCGTTTTCGAGCTTGTTAAACGATTAAGTAAATACAGACTAAACTGCCGTGATTGAGGACAGACGTAAAGGCTTCGTTAGCGAGTATCGCTGAATTAGTTTCGTTAATTGACACTTAAGTGAGGACAAGTGTGCGGGTCTCGTAAGCGAACACGTAAGAGAAGACAGATGTACGGGTTTCGTAAGCTAACACGAAAGTTCTCATTAAATCCTGGCTTTGATTTGTAGTCAATTATATTACAAATGTAATAGAAACGCTGGAGTTTGTATTGCTTTATTACTTAATGCCCAGTTACTTACACTATTATGTTTCCTCCTCTATAGGTAAAGGTATGGTTCCAAAACCGACGGATGAAGTGGAAGCGGACTAAGAGCGGACAGCTGGCTATGAAACGGCAGCAGCAGCAGCAACAGCAGCTGGAACAGCATCATCTGGAAAAACAGCAGCAGGAGGAGACGAGTTCATCCCCGAACCAGGAGGCTCCAAAGCCTCAACCTGAAGACACAAAACTCCTGCTACAAGCTGTTCAACAGCCACCCATCACCAGTAACCTTAGATGCAGCAACGAAAACAGCAACATTCCTGATACGAACAGCAGCAGCAGCAGCAGCGACAGTACTGACAGCACGCAGCGTGACCCAGTACTCACTCATCATGGAGTTTTGGATGGTCCATCCACTCCTCCGACACTCTCCTCCACTGACCTCCAAGGAGGTCACCTCCAGAACCCCTACCGGAGCCTCCACCACGCTCCTGCACCACCATCCTCGCCCCTATCCACCACCCCTCTTCCTGGCCCTCTGGAGGATAGTGGTACGTTCACTAGCCTTCAACAAGACCTGAGAGACACAAGCCCGTACCTTCAGGAAGATGAGACTTGCTAGTAACACACGTATTGCTTCGCTTCTCTTTATTATTTTTCACTTCTAACTCATTCTAACTCGTAGATTAGCTAATTTCATATTTATTTATACGATTACAACATAAGCTGAATTATTAGTATAACAGGTGTTCATGATTCTCAATGGTTGATTTTGATTGGTCTCAGAGTGCGAGTATATCCTCCCAGCCAAGGCCGCAGACTCGATAACACAACGGTTATCAAACTTATTTCACTCCTGTTATCTCTGAATGTTATCACGCTTGTTCATTGCTAAAAAATTATCTCGAAAAATTTCTAAGGAACTGTGGTATTTTGTAGGATTTTGGATGTAATATTATATGAAAAACATGCATATATTCTGATATTATGATGATATCTAATACAATATACTGCAGAATATTAAAACAATCTTATACAATATATTACATAACATATTCGCATACCTTGTAAAATTGTAGCTTCCTTACCCACCGGTTAGAAATAGAAAATAATTATGACTAGTTCTGGAAATAAAGTTAATATTTAATTTGTAAAAATTTATGATTATATTCTAAAAAAATTGACCTAAATATTCCTGTTTTTGCAATTCAAATAATGAACTAGAAGGTACCCAGTTTTTTTTTTTGCAAGTGATCCTGAGCCTGCAATCCTGCCGCTATCTTTCCCCATAAATTCTATATTATTCCCGTGCAATATACATGATTATTGCAAGGCCTTCAATACCCATTACCGATTCTGCCAGAAATCTTCACACTTAACATCTCCATACAGTTGTGCAATACGCGCCATGATCTACTATATCAACATAAATTTCAAACTAGATTACGAAACTTTTGTAAGTTTCAAAATCCAGCTAGATTGCCAGCTAGATTACGAAACTTTTCTCATAATAAGAAATAATTTGAATGACATTATAGGCCTATATGCATATATATATATATATACCAAAAATGTGTAACTACCAGCCTCGTTTCTTAATTTAGAGTGTGATAATTATTACATATTTGTTTTGTAACGTGTAAAATCATATGTGGATGGTATAGACAATTTGAAAACAGTATGGTAATCTTTTAATGTGTTATTGCTCACTGTTTTCTCAGATAATATAATAATTATATATTATATAAGTTCGATTTTTTTTACTAAAAAATTTGTAGTTCAGTATTTATATTCTTCTTTTTATTTTGTAATATGCAGTGTGAGAACAGACTCTGTGTGTCTATTCAATTTAAATTGTTTTGGCTTGAATATGATATTATATTCTTGAGTGTGCAAATCCAGCTGTGTTTAATTACCCATTTTTCTATGAAATTATATATTTTTTGCCAATCTTTTTCACTATTAAATAGAAACACTAAGATATATATATATATATATATATATATATATATATATATATATATATATATATATATATATATATATATATATATATATATATATATATATATATATATGACAATGTCAGACCACGAAGGAAAATGAAACAGGAAATTTCCTTAAGTACTTTCGTATATTAAATACATCTTCAGAAGGTCCAGGACCTTCTGAAGATGTATTTAATATACGAAAGTACTTAAGGAAATTTCCTGTTTCATTTTCCTTCGTGGTCTGACATTGTCACATTCTTAATCACGTGTTTATTTTCGTGATATACACACACACATATATATATATATATATATATATATATATATATATATATATAAATATATATATATATATATATATATATATATATATATATATATATATATATATATATATATATATATATATATATATATATAGTGGGTACCACCTCTGGTTGTTTGCAGGGACACTCACTCCTCGAAGAAGAGGATATGCAGCACCCGGTGGAGCCTTGTGGGGCTCCCGCGAACACTGACACACGTTTCATTGCATATGAATGCATATTCCGTGTTTAATATTGTTCTTGTTTTGGGCAAAACAAATATAACATTTAAGTATCCTCTTAGGAAAGAAAAACGAAAATAATCCGAGCGCTTTCGTATATTAACATATTTTGAGGAAATACAGTAGATACAGTACTCCTTTAAAATGTTTTAATTCGCGGAATCGCTCGGATTATAATCATTTGAACGCCACAGTTGCACTCTCCATGTGTGTGCTCTAATGTCACCAGAATGTTCATTATGAACATCACTATTATCTCCGTAACTCGTCCTTACTGTCCTATTCTTCATCAGCTTTACTAAAACTTTATCACAATCCCAAATCCCTTTTTTTTGCCTCATGACTTTCATTAACACGAAATATTACCACGACAACATACGACTCCTTGTCCCTCTACCACCACACATGCTACCACATACCACATACCACATACCACACACCACATACCACATACCACATACCACATACCACACACCACATACCACATACCACATACCACATACCACACACCACATACCACACACCACACACCACATACCACATACCACATATCACCAACGCCAGCTCATCCTTGGGCACCTGCTAGTGTCGTCAGAGTAGCGAGCATCAGTTAAAGGCCATTACTATAATGACGGTAGGGTTAATAGGTCCCTTCACACTCATCCCTCACTGCTATAACCACCTCTACACCCCCCCCTGTATCTCCCCCCTTCACCCCCCTACACATAGGTACATTGCCCTACCCTCCTATCCTGTATCCACCCCCTATCCTTTGTCTTGTAAGTCTGTCTCCTTCGTTCCAAAGTTCAACCTGTCCAATGTTACGTTCATTCCCTATTAGAAAACACAGACCTCACATTTCTGTGTCGCGTACTTCGCTATCACACCAAGCACAAAGATATCAGTTTTTCCAATTAAATGTGATTTACTCAATAGAGCTCACAGCTGCCAATTTCCTATTACAGACGATGAGTCACAATAACGTGGCTAAAGTATGTTGACCAGACCACACACTAGAAAGTGAAGGGACGACGACGTTTCGGTCCGTCCTGGACCATTCTCAAGTCGATTGTGAGACGTCGTCGTCCCTTCACCTTCTAGTGTGTGGTCTCGACAACTTCCTATTACAGGTTTTGCACCTTTACATCAGATCAATCATCAATCACTATCGTATCAGATGATACTCTTCCTATAGCCTTAAGTAAATTATTTATAGATATTGGAACAGGAAGGAACTGAATATTCTCTGTGTAAGTGAATCACAGAAATTACTGGAAAACGTTCGCATACATTCAAAATAATTTACTTCCTGAAATCCAAAGTTTGCTTATTGTAGAAAGTCTACGTAAACTGTCCACAGCTGCCTCTTATTGGATTAATGTGTGGGATATGATTAGTAACGTTTTAAAATATATATAAAGTTCTCAGTATGGAAACTGTTGAGGGCCACTACCTGAATTATTCATATTGATTCATATTGTGATTCATATTGTGTAACTTGTTTCTCAAGAGCGTTACTAAATGAACCTTGAGGTTCCGTTTCGTACCCATTATGTGTCTCTGTAACCATTTCTACCACCACTTTCGGTGGGTATTGAATGCAGATTAATTAAAAAAAAACGAAAACTACTCTTTCCTACCCTGAGCCTCTAGAAAAATGTTTTAGCTCTCTGATGAACAGAAAATCTTGGTGTCTCATTTTTGCAATTTTAACGCCGATTTTTGCAATTTTAACGCCGATCTGCAAGCAGGTCGGCGTTCAATCCCCGACCGTCTAAGTGGTTGGCCACCATTCAATCCCCCCGTCCCATCCCAAATCCTTATCCTGACCCTTTCCCAGTGCTATATAGTCGTAATGGCTTGGCGATTTCTCCTGATATTTCCCCTTAATAGTGAGATTTAGTTCCATTTAAAGTACTGTTTTGCAAGAAGTCAATCTATAGTCCGCAGTTAGCAGGACTGCGATGGATATATATATATATATATATATATATATATATATATATATATATATATATATATATATATATATATATATATATATATATATATATATATATATATATATATATATATATATATATATATGTGTGTGTGTGTGTGTGTGTGTGTGTGTGTGTGTGTGTGTGTGTGTGTGTGTGTGTATTTAATTGCTACTACTGCACAATCTGCATGTCTCTCAGACACACAGGTGTTAACAGGTTCCTGTGAGTCCATCAATGCCAGCTGGAAACCAGTAGTTTTACAGACTAGCAAGAAGTGGTTGATTAGGTTAACATCTGTCGCCATGGTTTGAATGTCGTTACTACATTATTTATTTATTTATTTTGCAGAAATAGTCCTGTGTGGGCCCCTGCACCTCTGGCTGGTCCGCTAGATATGTCTATGATGATGAATGACTTCAGAAGATATATAAGTGGAAATTTGATGACCGATGATATTTATATATAAAACACTGCTTTCCTGAATATTTACTGCTGCCAAGAACGGGAATAAAATTATGTTTGATAACTGTAGATTAATTTAAACACTTCATTTAAATGTTTATTTTATCATTAGAAGATATATGAAAATGCAACATTGTTTCATAGAGTTAACACATATTTTGTCCTATCATATACACCTAAAAACCGTATTCGGTAGAAAATGTTATTATATATTTAATCTAGAAATTTATAAACGAAATGTGGCTAATACGCTGTCAAACATTTGTTAAAAATATTCACTCTCCGGTATAATCCACGTGAATCCAAATATTCACGTGGATTAACAATGGAGAAACAATTGGCAGAGTTTCTTTCACTCTGATGCCCCTGTTACCTAGCAGTAAATAGGTACCTGGGAGTTAGTCAGCTGTCACAGGCTGCTTTCTGGGGGTGGAGGCCTGGTCGAGGACCGGGCCGTGGGGATACTAAGCCCCGAAATCATCTCAAGATAACCAAGATAACACATTATCGGCATTCAGTCCTCGACCCACCAAATGGTGGCCACCATTCCTTTTCAGCATCCTATCCTAAGTTCATATCCTCAATTCCTTTCCTAGTGCTTATACCCTTGACATTCACCGTCCCTTGGCACATTAATTATCAGTGGTTCCTCAGCACGACTAAATCTTTCAAACAAAGTCGCAACATTCTGTTCAAAGCCAGACACAGATGCAGCAGCAATATTATTTATAATGACAGCAAAGATCATTTCACGTGAATTACACCTCGACTGCCCTCTTGAAGCATGAGAGAGGCTACGGGCTCACCATAGCCCGTGTTACTTGGAACTTTTTGTTCCAAGTAACGAATCTTAAACAACAACAAGCACGAGAGAATTGATGTGTTAGTCTAATTAGTTATTCACATATTCACATATTAATTAGTCACATATTCTGACTAATTAGTCAGAATATGTGCTTATCAAAGCCTGAAATTGACTAACATCAGGAACTCCAACAAATCTACGTAGGTCTACGACAAAATGAAATCTTATCTATCTTTTACCGACGTCTCGTGTGGAGTCTTAAGTCCAGTCCAACGGCTGACTTTCCCAAGAAAGTCACCCATGAGAGCTGGCTGCCTGTACCCCAGTATTTACGGCTAAGTGATCAGTTGCGTCGGGTGTAAGAAAACCGCTCTCATGCCTCGTCCAGTGCGGAGAACTAACTTGTCACTATTCGCTGATAAGCTGATCAAGCTCTCACCACTTGCATGTTTGTGTATTTTGTTTATTTATTATGCACCCCATACCCATCCTATGGTGGTAGTAGACCCCATACCCATCCTATGGGTGGTAGTAGACCCCAAGCCCATCCTGTGGGTGGTAGTAGACCCCAAGCCCATCCTGTGGGTTGTTTTGGACTCCATACCCATCCCGCGGGCGGCAGTGGACCCCATACCCATCCCACTGGCGGTAGTGGACCCCATACCCATCCCACTGGCGGTAGTGGACCCCATACCCATCCCACGGTCGGTAGTGGACCCCATACCCATCCCACTGGCGGTAGTGGACCCCATACCCATCCCACTGGCGGTAATGGACCCCATTCCCATCCCGTGAGCGGGAGAGGAAAAGATTACAGAAGCCCATAATGGGCTCAGGGATCTGACCCATAATTCATTTAACTTGCTAAATTACAGTTCTGATAAGCTAAGAACACAGTTTAATTAATACCAATAGTCTCTAATAGCACAATTAGTTCAAGAACTGAACAAGTATAGAATGCTTACCTCAGAGATAATAGGGTTCAGTATCTAAACTCATTTTGAAATTCTTTAACCTATCCTCTACGTAGCCCATATAAGAAGTGCATGGGGTCATTGATAAACTAATTAAGCTAACTAAGTGACCAGGGGCGAGATTCACGAAGCAG